TATTTTCAACATATAAATTAAAAATCATCGAAGAGAGTATGCAGCCTTGGCTGACACCTTTCCGGATTTTAAATTCATCCGTATATTGGTCTTGATCAATCCTCACCTTTGCCATTTGGTTCCAGTATAGACTCTGAATAATTCTCATCTCCTTCTGGTCAATGTTAGCCCTATGTAGTAGTTTCATTATGATATCATGTTTAACATAGTCAAATACCTTCTCGTAGTCGATGAAGGTGAGGTAGACATCTTTTTGTTGATCTAAGCAGTTTTGTATTAAGGTGTTCAAACATAAAATTGCCTCTCTTGTTCCTAGTCCTCCCTTAAAACCGAATTGTGTTGACCCGCCAAGTTCTTCTAGTATCTTGTACATTCTTGAGTGTACTATCCTAAGGAAGAGTTTCAGCAAGTGACTCATTAAACTGATTAAGCGGTGTTCATTGCATTTTGTGGCATTAGCAGTTTTTGGGATCATCACAAAGGATGACTGCAGCCATTCTCGCGGAATGTAACCAGTATCATAAATTCTATTGAACAGCCTTACCAAGATTTCGATATTCTCCTCGTCTAGTAGTTTTATTGCTTCTATATTAATTTCATCTGGACCTGTTGCTTTATGCATCTTTGTGGTTCTAACTGTATATTCTATTTCACTTCTTATTATTGATGGCCTTGATAAGTTTTCGGAAGGAAGTTTGCGTGTTGGTTGTGTTGGTCGTTCGTCGTTAGAAAGTCTTTCTGCGTATTCTCCTCTTCTGACTCTATGTATTCGTTTCTGTCGTTGCGTATTCTTGTTCTGTGGTGGCTTTTGTGTATATTCGATATTTCTTTGATCTTCTTATGTAGTCCAACACTATCTCCTTTTTCCTGCAATTTTTCTATTTTGTTGGACCTTTATACCATCCAACGTTCTTTTGCTCTCTTAATTTTCTGGCGAATTTCTTTGTGTATCTGTTTGTATTTGTCCTGATTACGTTGTTGTTTATGTTGCCTTCGCTTTTTCATTAGATCCATAATTTCGTCCGTCATCCATTCGTTATGCTTTCTCTTTCTGATCTGTGCTTAAACATTCCTGTTTACTGCCAGAATCGTTCCTTTAATATCATTGACCATCTCTTCGATATCATCATTTTGTTCTATTACTCGTATTCTTTCATTAATTTGATCGCATAACTCTTCTTCAGATTTTCGTCTCTCATCAGTTCTCTGGTGTTTGTATTTGTTTTCTTAATTTTTGCTAGTTTTAATCTCACATCTGCTATTAGCGGATTATGATCGGAAGCAATATCAGCACCTGGATATGCTGCGATTCTTTTGATAGCGTTACGAAATCTTCTGTTTATTAAGACGTAGTCAATTTGATTTCTAATTATTCGGTTTGGACGGTCTCCTGGTGATCTCTAAGTATATAACTTACGAGGTGGGAGCTGAAACCATGTGTTCATGATGACAAAACCGTTCTCCTGGCAGAATTCATACAGCAGGTCCCCTCTTTCATTTCTAACTCTAAGGCCGTACTCTCCAATTATGTCTTCATATCTTCCTTTACCCACCTTGGCGTTAAAGTCGCCCATTATTATGTTTATGTCCTCTTTCTTTGTTAGTCTTATTGCTTTTTTCAGATCTTTATAGAACTTAGTTATTTCTTCTTCTGACTTATCTGCTGTTGGTGCATACGCTTGTGTCACATTTAGGTTTACTGGTTTGCCTGTCATTTTGATCAACGTGACTAAAACTGATGACAACTAAAAGCGGCACATATCACAATGGCTGGGCGCTGTTGTAAGCGTAGCCTTACACGTAGCCTTCTATAGGCGTAGCCTTCTATAGACACTGTCAGAAACGGTTTGGTATGTTCAAGGGATCATATTTCTTGAATCTCTTCGCTTGTTAGTTGTGAAGATGATTGTATACCAAGGTGTTAGGACGTACGCGCAACCTGTTTTAATATTGTTCATAAATTATTTTGCACCCTTCAGGGACTGTTAGTACCTGCAGATCTGTATGTAAGACATAACTCTAAATATACCAGATAGCATTAGCGATTGTTCTTAGAGTTTTTGATTGAAATCTTTGTATTTTCATAGTAATAGCTTTGCTAGCTGATCCCCGGAGTTACGAACCATATGACCAAATGGGTTTTAATATAAGTTTGTATATCAGCAGCTTGTTGTTGATCGATAGGTGTGAGTTTTCTCCCATATCTAGAGAATCTAGTAAAGTTTTCTGTATAAAATTTCTAGTTGTAATCTTTTCGTCCGTGTGTTTGAGCAATATTAATCATTTGTCCAGAAGAATACCTAGATATTTTAGGTCATTCTTTTGAAGTAAAGGATGTCAATCGAGGTTAACTTGTGGACATATACCTCTTCTAAGAGTAAATGTAATATGTGTGGATTTTAAGGGATGTACTTTTAAACCATTCATTAATGGTGTTTAGATGTAGTTGAAGTATCTCTGTTGCTATTACTGAACTACTATGATATGTCAGAAAAGTAGTATCATCTGCAAATGTTGCAAGCGTAAGGTTATTGCTTGTTGGTGAGTCTGCCGTATATATCAGGAACAAGATCGGTTCAAGCACACTACCCTGAGGTACACCAGATACGATGAGGTAGAGTTTTGTATAGGCTTCACTATACTTTACTATATATCTTCTTTCTTTAAAGTATGATTTCAGAAGTTAGAAGTAAGTGTAAGGTAGGTTTTTCTTTAACTTGTACAAAAGTCCTGTGTGCCACACCTTGTCAAAAGCTTGAGAGGCATGTAAAAAGGCTGCAGTACAGTATTGCTTATTTTCAAGACTAGTTTTTATTCTTGTGTATAATCTGTAAACTTGTCTGTGAAATCCGAGTTGATGGTCAGGTATAAGACCCTTTTTGTTCAATATTGGTTTGATTTTTCTCAACAGAAGTTTTTTAAAGACCATAAAAATGACTGGGAGTAAACTAATCGGTCGGTATAAGTGACATCTTTTGGATCTTTACCAGATTTTTAAATAAGTATAACCTGTACCACCATTGAAAAACATAGGAATTATTCTGTAGCAATCATGGGTTAGTTCTTGAACGACCTTACCTGTAATAGGATCATATCCAAGCGCCTTGTTGAGTTTTATCTCATTTTTATTATCTGTTTTACTTGGACTAAATACTTTAGAAAGATGTTCTGTGAATGTCTTAGATTTCTCTGGATCTGTTCTTGCCCATTTACCTTTGGCATTTTTTAAAGGAGGTATAGCGTCCTGGAGCCCTTTCAATTCTCTCGTAGCTTTCCATAAAGAATAGTTTGTATCTTTGAACGGTTTCTAGGTAAGTTTGGATCCTTCTATTTTTTCTTCATTTAACAGATTTTTAAGTCTTCTGGTAATTCTGTTTGCTTTGTTAAAAGATGCGTGTAAGTAATGCCACTTTTTGCTTATGTTCTTTTTTCTTTAATCAATTTATGCTTTCCTCCATACTGTCTGTTTACAAGAAGCACTCCATCCCGCCTTTTGCATGGAAGTAGCCATTTCGATTTGTAGGCTTTCTGGTTTTTCTCCTACAACTAAGTACTCAGTTTTTTGTATATTAATTGTGAGGCCATATTTGGTGTACTCATCTTCCAGTTTTCTAAGCATGTAGCTTGGCTTCATCGTCGTCAGCGAAGTGTATCGTATACAATCTATCATCTCCAATTGGGATGCCCATATTGCAGCACTTTCTTCTCCACAGTGAGAGCGCCTGACTTAGATATATTTTGAAGAGTGTAGGTGCTATGCAGCAACCTTGCTTTAGGCCCTTACTAATAATAATTTCTCTAGTTAATCTATTTGCAGTTTTAATGTTTGCCGTCATATTTTTGTAGAGCTGTTGTACTGCTTGTATATATTTTTTGCTTATTCCTTGTTTTTACATTGCTACCCAAAGCATTGAAAGTGGTACACTATCGTATGCCTTTGTCAGATCAATGAAGAATATATGAGTTGAAAGGTTGTGGACTAATCTTTTCTCGATAACTTGCTTTAGAGAGAATATACTGTCCATACAGGATCTGCCTGCACGAAAGCCATTCTGTTCTTCTACATCTGTCATCTCTTTTTCAATTTTATTTTTTATTATTTTCCATACAGTCTTGACAGTGAATTTATGATACTTAGCCCCCTGTAGTTTGAACAATACTTTCTATGTCCTTTTTTGTAGATGTTGTTAATATGTGCTTTTCTGTTTGTTCTCAGATTTTTTACCGTTTTCCATGCTTCTCTTGATGTTGTTGGCGCTATATATTTGTTGAGTTCTTCGCATTTACTTTCCCAGGAAATATTTGTTTCTTTAGTTACTAAATTTTTTACTTCTCTGTTTGATCTTGCATATGTTCGTCTATCATCTGGATCATTTGTTTGCAGCCACTTTTGATATGCTTGTTTCTTGTTGTGTACTGCATTGGCGATGTCATTTTCTCACCACAATTGAGTATTATTTTTGTTCTTTTGGATTGTGCCGAGCGCTTCGTAAGCTGCTTTATTGATTTTATTGATTATCTCTTTATAGGTATTCTGGGCTGAGGAGTAGATCAGGTTTGCCAATTTTTGGCTAAGTCGCAGCTTATATAGGAATGATGTCGAGTCGTTTTGCAGTGCATCAATATTGTATTCAGGTAGATTCTATTCCAGGGGTTTTGATTGAGCTAGTTGGTTGTCATTTTGATGTAATTTAAGGTAACATTTTGATCTTACCATATAGTGGTCAGTTCCGCACTCCGGTCCTCTTAATACTTTTATGTCTTCAACTTGCACAAAATAATAATTTATATGAATAAGTCTAATGGTTCATTTTTATCGTATTCTTACGAATAATCAAGCAAAAAAAAAAATTGGCATGTAGGTAGGTTGGTAAATGCAATACGTATTTCTAGTTATATAGTTTATTTCTTATTTTTTTTGCACATTTTTAAATAAACATAAAACTAAAGAAAAACATCAAAAGTGCTAAAATTTTATTCAGTAGTTGTTATATGTAGTACATAGATGAAGTTTTTTCCTTTTTAACATATTTTACATGTACCTTTGCAAGGATGACGTTTCGGGCAGTCTTCTATTGGTATGCACTTATTTTTTGCATCTCGTGCATATCCCTTTATACAATAACAATCGTCGTTACATCGTATGTTTATAATAGGACAAGTAGCTCCTAATGTTGCACATGTGTTTTGACAGGCGCTACCACAATCGTAAAACTCGTTAGGTCTTGTACAATTAATCCAAGTAATACCTGAAATAATAAAGATATATTGAAATGGAGACTGAGATAAGTTATGGGGTAAGACACATTTGCTATAAATTATTGTGTGAGAGGAGTTAATAGGCAAAGAAGATAATTTAATTTATTATAAGCGGTATTAATTTTGTTTCATTACCCATGATCAGAACAAATTAAGATACGTAGAGGAGTTAAACAGGGATGTGTTTTATCGCCACTTTTGTTTAACTTATATTGTGAAGGAATTTTCCAAAACACGCTTAATAATATCAAAGCGGGAGTTACCGTTAATAAAAAATTAATTAACAACTTATCGTATGCAGATGACACTGTGATTATAGTAACGAGTATAGAAGATATACAACATCTTATCTTAATAATAGTTATATATAGATATATAGATAATAATAGAAAGCTTAATAGTATGAATGGTGCTTAGATGGGAATTACTATTAACGCTAAAAAAAGGAAGTATTTGCTAATTACAAAACGACATTTTATTTTAGCATTGAAATCAGGTAAACGTGGAGGCCATTCAATTCTACCTTGTCTACCAATCCATCGTCCGGGAAATATCTCAGCTAAATAACGCCGAACATTTACATCAAAATGAGCTGGAGCTCCATCTAGCTGAAACCATATCTGATTAAAATTTGCCCCAAACAAGTTTCTCAGTGTTGGTTCAATTTAATTTTTAAGTAACATTTCGTAACTATCCGACGTTAAATTTCCTTTGATAAAAAATGGCCCAATTAACTGAGTACCTACTATATCTGACCATACATTTAATTTTTGTGGTCTTTGAGTATGGTTTTCACGCATCCAGTGTGGATTTACGTCATTCCAGTACCTTAAATTGTGTCGATTTTCACTCTCACACAGTGTAAAGGTTGCTTCATTAGAAAAGCATATTCTGTTAACGAACTTAACATAATTTTCAATTTTATCTATCATTACCTCACTAAACTCTAATCTATGATCGAAGTCATCTTCACTTAATTCTTACAATAAGTTAATTTTGTATGGTTGACATTTATTCTTACGTAATACACGTAAGACTGAAGAACGACCTCCATCATGTACTTGTGCAACCCTGCGTGGGGATGTATGTGGATTTTTAACAAAACTTTGCATATATTTAAAGTTTTGTTGTCATTTATAACTCCTTTCGGTCTACATGATCAGTATCTATCTTTTACTTCTCCAGATTCCTCAAATCGCTTTACAGTTTTTTGTACCGTCGCCTTATGAATAAGAGAACGGTTTGGGAAATTATGATTGAACAAATTGGCTACTTTACAATAAGATCTTTTTCTGTCATCGTTCCCTCTCATCATTAGAATAGTAATTCGTTCTTTTTCGTTAAAATCCATTTTAGAGAAGCCATTTATCTTGCTGAACTTTTCGAAACACAACCACTGTCAGTTTTAGTTATCATTGTAAACGGTGAACAAATATCAAAATTACAGCATTCAACATTTAAATACTTAAATTTATTAAAATCTACATATTTTGCACTGTTTTATGTATTTAAGACCTTCCAGACTACATAAAATCATAAGTGTTATATGGTTAAGTTCGTATTGAATAGGAGATTCTAATAATGACTGAATGTACAGGGTGATGAATTTGAGAAACCAAAGTTATTAATAATATAAGAGAAACGGCAAATCTTATAATTGAACGCTGACATAATGATCAGTTTTTGAACATGATTTTGATAATCCTGCGTATGCGTAAGGTAGTAATGGGCAACGTACAGGCACGAAAACATGGCGGTCACATCAAAACTGGTTTCACTTTTCGAAGATTTAATAAATGACCGTTACCTATCATCTCTCTTTCCTTGTCTAAGCACTGAATAGTATATGAATAGTTTATGCTTATCATTATAAATAGTCGTAAATTGCAAATTGTAAATGCAAATTTAGAGGTACGTAACTAAAATACTTCAAAATTGATCCAGCCTTTTTTATGGACAGAAAATGTATGTTTAGAAAAAGGTATAAGTGATGTACCTAAGTATTTTTGATTCTGGAAATAAAAGTGATGAATGGGTAATAGAAGAGGACTCTGTGTAGATCTTAGTGATAGTGGTGAGGAAATAATAAATGAACAATGTACTTACAATAAAAATAAATACAATGGTATAATATTGAGTGTTACTTTAATGTAAACTACACTTTCCAAAAGCTACTTCGATAAAATTCTCCTCAGATTATTTTAGAAATTTCTTAGACAATAACTCTTCAAATGGAATTACTTATCATTTAAATTTATATGCTATTCAAACAAATCCTAATAAACTTGCGAGGTTGACAATAAAAGCGCTGGACAATTTATGGGTTCAATATTTATGTCTTTGATCAAACTACCAAAAGCTGCTTTATATTTTAGTTCTCAATTTGATGTTTCTTTAGTTCGTGAAATAATGAGTCGAAATGAGAAACAATAAAAAAACGTACATATTTTCCGATAATGCCAAAGTTGATCCGTCAAATTTAGATAAACTGTACATAGACCCTTAGTAGAACATTTGGAAGAAAAGTTTTGAAATATTCCAAACGAACAAATGGTCGTGGTCGATGAACAAATGATTCTTTTCAATGGTCAGTCCGGGTTAAAACAGTACATGCAAAAAAAAGACCTCACAAATAGGGCCCAAAATTTATGTGTTGCTTAACTCCAATAGCGTTGCATACGATTTTGAAATATATATCTATTGGAAAAATTTTGGCTACTCCAGGATACAATGATATGGGTTCCAGCGGCAATATTGTTATATTTCTCTGTAAAAGAATTTAACAAGATAATCACCTTCTTAAGTTAAAAAAAATGTCTAGGAATAGTCTACTCAAACCGTCTTCCTAGGTGTCAGACAAAATCCTGAAAACAAGAAGACGCTGATCATTTCAGGAACTAGAGGTGCAAACTGAACCTTGCAGAATTATCAATTGGCACGACTCTCGTGCAGTATTGCTCATCCCCATCTTTTCCTTTGCCAAACCTCCTGTTACAAGTGAAGATGGGATAAAATCAGAACAGATACTGTAGATATTCAGTACCTTACAGAAATTAAAACTTACAATAAATTCATAAATGGAGTAGATCTTATGAATTCACTAATAGGTCTATATAAAATCACAATTAGATCGAAAAAATTTTACCATAGTTTTTTATTTCATTTTATGAATATGATAGTTGTAAATTGTTGGCTTTTATATAGACGTGACTGCAATGATTTTGGAGTTGCAAAGAAAACCAAATGTCTCTGTTTGAGTACAAGAGTCGTATAGCAGAAAGCCTAATGAAATAAGGAAAGACACATTTACCAAGAAATTAGGACGTCCCAGCAGTAGTACATGATCTTCATGCAGCAAAAAAACACAAAAGTGCAGTTTCAAAAATGATGTCTTAAAAGGATATTAGGCTGGATGAAATAGGACATTGGCCCATTCTGAAAGATAAAAAAAGACATTGTCGAAAACCTGGTTGTACTCAATAAAATATATTAATAAAAATTCGAATTGTTTTAACGATTTCATCGTAATTAAAATGAATCATGCTACTCAAAAATGGCGTTGTTGCACCAATAAATATATTTATTAAAATTATTGTGTTACTTATGATTACTCGATGCCTGATGTGACGTTTTCATGAAGTTTCAAATTTTTTAAATCAATATAAAAAATAAATATTAGTATGTCATACACATAATTATTAATTTAAATAATTGAACTTTAATAGTTTTAGAATAATTTTAAGTATTTGATATATAGTATTTAATAGTTTCAAAATATATAAGTATTTAATACCATACCTCCAGGTGGCAAAGTAATTCCTGGTGGTGGAGTTAAAGGCACACTACTAGTTGTAGTGGTAGTCTCCTTTGCGTCCGCATAAAACAGTGAAAACAGAAATACAGTTAATAATAAATATGACTTCATTGTTGTTGACGGTACTAAATACGCAAAAGGATTGCTTTCAAATACAAAAATATTATTTTTTTTAACATATTTGTTGTGTTTAAAAATTACAGGTATGCGATAACTGTTAGTATACAGGATGATTCAATCAAACATTATTGTTGGGATACATCTTTTTATGGAACATTGAGCGTTAAATGTAATGTTCATTTACATGTATCGGTCTTCAACAATTTCATGAAATGTAGTTGTTTATCCTTACACGCCCAACAATATATAGGTTCCATGTATTCCCAAGAGTGGGTAAAAAATGTCCACTTTGAAAATTGCTAATATACATATTAAGAGTTGTTACAAATGTTAGAAATGGGTTAAACTTAAGAATCTTAAATCGATACAGCATTTTCTGAAATGATAATATATATTATCTGTTTACAAACCTTACGAATTATTAAAAAACAGTATGAAATAAGAAGGCTAATCTGACTCCCAATATTTAACTGCAGCATATCTGCAACTAGAACTGAAACTGATTTTTTCGCTGTGTTTGTCATACACATTTATATTGCACTTTGCACACACTATGGTTGTCTGCAACATGTTTTTTCACCTTTATTTTTACCAAGAGCTTCTTTAACGAAAATGGAACACCGCGTTTTTATAGTGTAAGATCTATCGTCAGTTAGAGTTAGAGTTAAGTTTTTGCTTTAGGATACCCTTCATTGCAACTATAATGTGAAGATGCAACCCCTTCAGATTCTCAGACATTGGCTGTAAAAGAGCCTTTATTAGTTCGATACCTAGCTCCTAGAGAAAAGGAAACCTATTACGTTTTTTATATTCCATTGTGGGTAATAAAGTGTGAATAAGGAAAATGCGTTCAAAGAAGCAATATCTAGTAATACAAATAATGTTGACAATGGCCTCCTTCGTGTATATCTTTTGGAACTGGCACACTAATCATGGCACTTCAGTTTGTTAAAAAAAAGTAAGTTAAAATTTAGATTCAGACTCAGACTCCTTCTTTAGGCTCTTCTTTAGTGTGTAATTACGTCGATTATGTCATCGTGACGAAATTGTAAAAGACAGTCTGTAATAAATCTAACAATACCTTCATTAGGAAAGACCTTCTCGTTCTCAGACATGTTCTGCTTCGATCGTCTCCTAATTCTTGAAGGGTGAGCCAAGTATGGTCTACCTGGTTTACTCACATAGTTACATCCATCATAGCACAGGAGTTACATCCTAGTTGTCATCCTGAGAATCGTCAGTTTCATAATCTTCGTTGTGGAAATTGGTAACATACAATCATTATCGTCAAACTCAATGTCATCAATGAATCACTAGCACTATTCTGTATGTCCCCTACTGCTAATTCCAACTTACGTTAGACAAATACTTGTACATTTTAAACTAATTCCGTTCCCTACTTTTACATACACATAGTAATCAACCCTGCCCCTAATAACATGTGTTTTACCATTGTACCGTGGCATGTTCGAAGAATAAACACATTATTTTTAAAATTTTTTTGCCTCTTATCACTTTTTTCAAAAAAAAATACAACAAAAAATGTCTATAACCTCCATAAATATGATATTACAATAATTGTTTAAAATGACCCGCATTTTCTTTATTACACATTCGGTATCGTTTTAATAAGAAAAACCGAATGCGCTAAAAAATTATATTTTTCTGACGAAATTGATTTGCACCTTCAATTATTCTAACCTATCCTATCCTATTGTTACAGAATACACTTTCTCTTTCATAAACCCCTAAAAGCAAAAGTCCATGGGGTTAAGACCTGGACTTCTGGGTGGCCAAGAAATAGGTGCGTCACGACCCCTTACAATCCTCCGACCATGATACTGCCGGCAAAGGTATTCCTGGACTTCATTACTGTAATGCGGTGGAGCGCCATTTTGTAGAAACCACATATTTTGCCTTATTGCAATATTCTTCCAAATACTCTTGTAAATCGTTTGCCAAGAACTGCAAATAATTATTACTATTTAAATTATTGGGAAGAACTACTGGGCCTAGATTGTTATCCACAATTCCTGCCCAAACATTAACTTTGTTCAAATCATGAATGTGTTGCTTGTGTGAGTCCATTTCAAATAGGTAAAGAAATAATAAATAAGACTTACTCACAATCAATTTAATTTAACTACTGAGACGACCGGTTTCGCTTTCTACAATATGCAAAGCATCTTCAGGTCTCGATACAAAATTAAATACATGATGCCGATACTCTATTCATTGATGGATAGTAGAACATGGTTGAAACTATTATGTATTGTTGAATGGAGAACTAAGAATGCAGACAATTGTCTCCAAGACTGAGATGTAGTGCATAAAAGTCCTTCCCGTTTTTAAATTTAATGTTTGTTTCGTCCCTTCTAAGTGTTTACTGTTTCTGTGTGTTTAAATTGTCCTAAATGGTTTTAACTTTAATATTTTTATATACTTGACTTTGCAATAATCTACCATTTTGCCAGTAGAACTTTATCAAAGAAATTTGATAATTACAAGTTGAAAAACTTGCACACCCACACAATTTGTACATCTTATCTTATTCATTGTCATAAAACTATCACCTTCATAAAATAAATACTCAATAAATAACACACATTTCATAAATATATCTCTTGAATAAGTATAAATAACTTTTAAATAATACAATGGTATATAACATCACTTTCATCTAACAATCACATTACACCTATCTCTACTTCATTGGATCAAATCTATCTAGTCAAGAACTTCCCATTTATTGTCAAACAACTACAATAGCAGACTTAAGTTCTCCATTTAACAATACATGATAGTTTCAACCATGTTCTACCATCCATTAATTAATAAAGTACCGGCATTATTTATTTAACTTTGTATCGAGACCTGAAGATGCTACAAAATTCATTTGATTTGAACGTACTCAAAAGTTTGGGGGAATTTGGGGGAAAAGGGCTGCACACCCCCTTAAAATTTTTCTATGCTCTTGCATGATTTAATTCGTAACGTACCTTTTTGAAACACCCTGTATACATGTATGTAAATTAATGGCCACAAACAAATTCTGAGATAAGCAAAAACGTGATATATAAGCAGATGAATTCTGTGATACGTGATAAATTTAAATTTCAAACAATATGTATATTTTTAGGTTTTGTTTATTATTAAAATACTTGATAAGTAAATAATTTTTGTTTGATATATTCTACTGATGTGTTATAAAAATGACAGAATTCCTTGTTTTTTCGTATATTAAATACTGATTCTTTTACGAACCCCATAATGAGGTTTGTGTTTGGACTCTTATATTCTTCTTATTGCATAGTCTCCTTTCGAAGGTAGGCGATCCATTTTGGAATCTAAAATGCAATAAAAACACTATATCAGCAAAAATTCTTACACGGGGTAATACCGCGCAGCACGATATTACCCCGACACAGCTGCGCGGTATTCCCCCTAAGTGAGTAACCTTACTTAACTTATCACTGTTCGTTAATTACTAAATAAAATGCATTATTTTTGTACGTGAAATTATCTATACATATAAAGCCAAATTATCACTGAATAGTTTTAATTAAAATTAATAACAAAAGCACTTACCGCTTGTTAAAGTTTAGTCGAAAATTACATCAAAGTCTTGAAAAACAAACAATCTGTGACCTTGTCTAAACCAATACTACGAATGCAGTCATATTACACACAAGTGGTCGGCTAGCAAGTACAAGACAGCGCACTGTGTTGAATGTTGCAATACTTACGCCGTGTTGCCAAGATACTGATGCGCGATATTCCCCCGTGCGCGGTATTCCCCCGGTTTCCCTGACCCAAGTATTGTATTTTTCTCTCTTTGATTATGATGAGTAATTCTTTTTGTTTACTCATGTACCGAAGTACCTCAGCATTGGTACCTTTTTGTATTCATGAAATTTTGAGCATCCGTCTGTATATACACATTTCAGAGATATCTATTTTTTTTTCTGTTTCAGAGTCCATTGTCCAACTTTCTCAGCCATACAGCAATACAGAGAAAACGTAACATCTGATCATTCAAATTCTAAGCTCTAGACTAAAGTCTGTAGAAATCTTGTAGAAAATGTTTTCATGTTTATAAGTGTTTTCCTCGGTTGTTCGATTCTTGACAGGATTTCTTTTTTGGGTTACACTCACAGTTGATATTTGCTCTCAAATATTTTTTAAACGTTACCTGTTCTATTTTCCTACCTTGTCCCTTGGCGTAGGTACGTTTGTTGGTATCTTTGAAAATACTAGAATTTTAGTTTTGGAAACATTTAGTTGCAAATCAAACATTTTGCTATAACGAGCTACCGCATTTATTATATTTTGTAGTTCTTGTGCGTTGCTTACTATTAGGACGGTATCATCAGCATATCTGATGTTGTTTATGCTGATTTCGTTAATCTTGATTCCACCTCGAACCTCGTCTAATGCTTTTTTGACTATAGATTTCGAATACAGGTTAAATAATAGTGGCGATAAGAGGCAACTCGTCGCACTTCTCGTCGGATTCGTATATCTTTAGATGTTGGATGCTTTATTTTAATTGTTGCCGTTGGGTGCCAATATATTTCTGAGATAATTCGCAAGTCTTGTTCGTGAATTCTAGTTGTTCTCAGAATTTTAATCATCTTCTGATAGTTAACGCAGTGAATTGCTTTTTGATAATCAATAAAACATGCATATATATATATATATATATATATATATATATAATATATATATATACATATAAATATATCTACATTCATGTCTGTGCATCGTTATCTTAACAAATTTAGTGCAAAAAGAGCTTCTCGTGTTCCCAATCCATTTCGACATCTGAATTAAGTGTCACTCATCTGAAACTCACACTTCTTGTAAATTCGCGTGTGAATGATTCTGAGAAAAGTTTTAAGGACATGAGACATCATGCTTAATATTTGATAGTCATCGCAGTGTGAGGCACTGGATTATTTTGGTAATGTTACGAATTTGGAATGAAAGAATTTAT